AAATAAAATCGTCTTTTTGATCCAATATTTTAACAGCGACACTCACATTGTGTTCGACGAGTATACTCGTCATCGCTCGATTCTCGCGACACATATAAGTGCGCGCTCTGAAATGGAGGCGCCACAGCTAACTGGTTAATAACTTCGAAGATTTCTGTTAAACCTCAAGTATTCCAACAAAATTGTGATTTATCCAATACTATACAGGATGTCTCGGTAACTCTGTTACAAAGAGATATCTCCATTATCGTTAATGATATACGGAAATGCTTGAGGAATAAATTGTTTGGTTCGAAGGGACACGTGTTGTGGTGGAAATCATTTTTTTGTAAAGGTCATATTTTCTGAGATTTCAAGGTCATCGATGTTTTTTCAAATGGGATTACATATTTCTATCATTATATGGTGATAGCTAAGATCAAGACGAATCTAATAACCTATAATACCATGACCTTCGTGTGACCTTGGATACGAAAAATAAAGAAATTTTTAGATACGGACAACGCGTTCATTGATACCAAATGTCAGTATGTTTATGTTATGTTCCTTTCGGTAGACATCACGCTTTGGTATGGAGTTTGACGTTCTCTCAGAGTTTTCATAATCGAATTAACAAATGTCTTGAAGTCAATGGAAATAATTTTGAACATTTATTACGATAAATTTTTCATGTTCTCTCAGAGTTTTCATAATCGAATTATCAAATGTCTTGAAGTCAATAGAAATAATTTTGAACATTTATTACAATAAATTTTTCATTGTTGATCTCCCTGTTGTACTTATTTCATTATGTGTGTCCATATCTAAAAATTTCTTTATTTTTCGTATCCTTCGTATCACACGAAGGTCATGGTATTATAGGTTATTAGATTCGTCTTGATCTTAGCTATCACCATATAACGATAGAAATATGTAATCCCATTTGAAAAAACATCGATGACCTAGAAATCTCAAAAAATATGACCTTTACAAAAAAAATGATTTCCACCACAACACGTGTCCCTTCGAACCAAACAATTTCTTCCTCAAGCATTTCCGCGTATCATTAACGATAATGGAGATATCGCTTTGTAACAGAGTTACCGAGACACCCTGTATACAGTTGGATTTCTTTTTATGACATGTCGCACGTTATTTCCCGTAGATTTTGACACGCTGGTTTCAAATCCGGTCGCACATTTATCGACCATTTCAGGATTTTGAAAAAAAGCACCGATTCCAGCAAGAAAGCTAACGAAATCGTGATCCTTTCGTTGAAATGATTCGATGATCCGTTGATTTTATCTCAAGATCTTGAAGCGGTAGGTAAATGACACAATATTTTCGCAAAATTCATAAATTTAGAAACTTTTCAAATCGCCGAATGCATTCTAACGAATCGCCTACTAAGAACAAAAAACCTATCATTATTTCGGTCACTGTACCGACCGGCGATGAGAGCAATGGGAGGATGTTATCGGGCGCCCATACGGAGGGAAAGGTCTGCATCTAGGTTAGGAGGTGGGGATAAAATGCGACGCTACGGAGAGAGAAAACGGAGGAAAGGTGCGAACGGTGTGGAACGACGGGGATGAAATCGCGGCAGAAATGCCGGAGAGAGAGAGAGAGAGAGAGAGAGAGAGAGAGAGAGAGAGAGAGAGAGAGAGAGAGAGAGAGAGAGAGAGAAAAAAGTCGCAGCGCGACGTTATCGAGGTGAAACTGTACTTTCGGCAGTCGGAAACGGTGTAACCGGGTGGAAAAGCTCTAAGTTGGTCGGATAGGGCAGGCGTAACGGGTCACCGTGGACTCGCGATGGGAATTAAAAGGTGCTTACGGTAAACGCGCTTGAGATATCGATGGGAATAGCGGCCTGCTCGAGAACGCGGTTCACGTAAACGACTCAATCGAGAGGGAGCCCTTTCAGGTGAACGTTAGATCGCGACCCGTTGCGTGTTGCTCGCAGGAGAGGCTATATTCCGTAATCGAATCCTCGGCTCGACAGCCTCGCCTTTTCGCTCTCCGCGGTGTCCCGTGATTATGGGAACGACGACGCTAGTGTACGATGATCGGGGGAGTAATGATATCCCTAGTTGCCGGTATCAATTAATACGTAACGGTGGAACACGGTGGTCTCGGGTTGCGGTAGCGTGCCGCGAGAAAGACACGGTTTTTGGTTCGAGTGTTTAAGTTATGGAGGATCGAATTCTCCGGTTTCTTGGGAAGGTGAAAGCTGGATCTACCGTGCACACGATGAAAATCTCTCGTGTCCTTGCTTCTGGGGGCAGGGACGTTACGGAGGTAAAGGTTGCTCTTTCCCGGAGACTTAACCGTTTGCACTCGAAGCTATTTTAACACTGAGCCTACCAAAGCAGTAATACTAACTGGCATGTACTGCTTCACAAAAGCGAGAAGACCGAATTTATTTAGAATTTGTAAAGTTTTTATTATAAAACTTGCTCCAATAATATAACTTATTCAAGCGTTTTCCACGATAGAGTCTCGGAACTTTGCAGAATTGCAAACTAAGAAAGAGGTCACTTTGACCGCGGTAGGTTTAGTGTTAACTTGGAATCCGGGACACGTTTTCTGTATTATGCGTATGCAATTGTGCACATGGAGATATGTACGACTGCACGTTTAACAGTTTTTTTTAAAATATAAACAATCGTGGAATTAATGCGTTCTTTTAGGGTTCGTTGCGCTTTCTCGGACACTTTCGGCTGATAATTGAACCGCGGATACTTCCAGGACTCGTTCCCTTTCCCCTACTAATTTTATCGGTGATTATCCAGTTGTGATTATCGAAACAAGATCTAGACCATTTGGAATCCGTAAGGAAACCGATAAAACTCGTTATTAACAAGGTCTAGACAAGAAGATTAGACAACACCGAATGCGAAACAGGAAAAACATTTCAAAAACTACTCATATTACGATCAACTGATACAAATAATCGAGCAAACGAATAATTAAATCTATTGTTCCTGCATCTTGCGGTCCATTATAAAGTAACGCGATATGTATGACAAAATAAAACATCATCGTTTATCTTTAAAAGGTGATTGACTCGCTATTAACCCTTTGCACTCGAAGCCATTTTAACTTTCAATTCAAAATAGTTTTTCTGACTCACGATATTTCTATCTCATATGACTCAAGCGCATTTTAAATACATGTATATGAAATTTGTATTTTGTGACGATTACGCTTTTAACAGTTTCTAAAATTTAAATAATTTTGATAATGTTGGAATTATTTTGAAACGTTATGTAACAATTTTAAGTGGCGAATCGAAGTCACCAGTCGAGTGCAAAGGGTTAATTGATGGGGTATCCAACAATGAACGATCTTACAACGAACGAATGCTACAGGGAACAGTTTCTCCCCTTCTTTATAATTTTTCATAAATTTACACGTATTGCCAATGTACATAAAATTTAAATACACGTTTTCTGTATTATGCGTATGCAAGTGTGCGCATGGAGATACGTACGATTGCGCGTTTAACAGTTTTTTTTCTTTTTAATATAAACAAATTTGACGTTGTCAAAATTATTTCGGAACGCGGTGCAGCAATTTTTAGTGGCGACACCGAGACGCCACGAAATATTGTTACGACACGTTCCGCAATCATTTTTAGCGGTACTTTTTTACGCGGTTTTGATTTAACACGGGCTAGAAAAATACATTCAATTTTCTCCTTTCACGATTTCGCTCGACTTACAACGATTGGAAAAGTTATTTCATTTAAATTTCAAGGAAAATTATATCCATCGACCAAGCCATTTTTTACAAGTTTCAAGGATGTGGAACCAATCCTCTATTGTTCTACGCGGATAGACGATGTCTCTATCTACAGTAATGTCTCTCTAATTGACGCTCAGCTTGTACACAAAAAATAGACAATTTGGGAACAGGAGATGCGATTATTTCAGCCTTGCACCTCGTTTTTCTAATTGTTGACAATCGGCAACTATATAAATGTGCCTCAAGACTCGAAAAGTCGTGTCTCCTCTTCCGAAATTGTCCATTTTTGTGCACAATCTCAGCGACAATTAGGGAGAATTTATCGTACACGGTTTTTTCTAGAACTTATCTATTGTGTACAGACAGAATTGGGTGTATTTAACGCTAAAACTACCAAATCGATCGCAACGACCGACTTCCGATTTTTTCATTCGCATTTACTGAAATTATAAAACTGTTTCTGTGAGAAATGCTTTTATAAAAACTCCATACGTTATAATAAAAATCGTACGAAGTTCGAGTAAATCCAACCTCGCCGTTGTCATAAATAGACTGCGAATCTCACGCGTTTCTAGCAAAATCGAGCGCTATACGACATCGAGTGCAAAGGATTAACGCTGCTCTTTCGCGGGGAACAAAGATCGGAGAACGAATTCTTACCCTCTGCCACACGAAGACGTTGTGTACCATCGCGCAGCCGCAGAAGACTATGCCGAGCCCTATGAAAATCGACGTGACAATGGCCGGCGTCGAATGAAACTGGATGAACGTGTACAGTATCATACCTGAAACAATCGCGATGAATATGTATATATTCATATGTACATCGTTTCTGCGAGCATTCTAATCGCCGCAGTAAGAAGTGATCGATCCATCGAATCGGCAGCCCCGAAGCGCGAATTAAACGAAGCCCGGGGAATGCCGAGACGCGCGCGATTCTTACCAGTTAAAAACACGGGAATGCTAATGAAGAAGCCACCGACAGCGCAGATACGGCTGATGGATGATTTTTGCAGGTACTTGTTACTCCTGAAACAAAAGAAAAATCGATGAAGTCGAGGGTCTCGCGGTTCCACGATAACTAAACGAGTTGCCGGGGAACGAGTTTCCATGTTCGTTGCACATATTTCCGAGGTACCGTGCTTCACGGTACGAATCAACGGAGTCCATGCTTATTCATGAGCGATTAGTATGTCGAGCTAGTTGGATCACTTTAATTCGGTATCGTTCCGCGTGGTAAATCAGCGGGCGGAGCGTTAACCCGACGCCGGTAACGTCGAAGAGCGCGCGAAGACGTGCAAAGAGGTGCAACGATGTGCGAAGATACGAAGTTCCAAATATTTGAAGTCGACCGGCCCGACGACGCGGCGAACTTCGCCGAATTTCCAGGCGACTTCTTTGCACCGTTCTCGCCGAATTCGCCGAAACGTGCCGCGTTCCATTCGTTTCAACCGCGGCCACCATGATCCCGCACGATCGCGAACACCGCAGCACGCCGCTCGATCTAATTCGGTCCAATTAAGTCGCAGAACCGTTCGCTGGAATCTCGATTACTCGGCCGCACGGCTCCGACTTATTGTTGCGGCGATCGAGCCAAAACCTGGCCGAATCTTTTTCAGTTCGCTTGCTGGTCGAAAGACATAATCGACGCTGCCATGCCCGTCAACGATAATTACTAGAGCACGGATTTTTATGCAAACTAAAATATAACCCGATATTTGGTGTCCCGATACTTGTTTATACACGCATTAAGCATTAAAAGTCCAATTAAGTCGCAAAACTGTTCGTTGGAGTCTCGATTACTCGGCCGCATGGCTCCGACTTATTGTTGCGGCGATCGAACGAAACCATGGCCGAATCTTTTTCAGTTCGCTAGCTGGTCGAAGGACATGATCGACGATGTCCGTCAACGATAATTACTGGAGCACGGATTTTTATGCAAACTAAAATAAAATCCGATATATATATTTTTGAGCATTAAAAGTCGTCCGAAAGCGATACAGAAAGTTTTAACTCTTGGCGATCGAAGTACAGTAATGTCTCTCTAACTGACGCTCAGATTGCGCACAAAAATGGACAGTTTGGGAAGAGGAGATACGATTATTCGAGCCTTGCGGTTCGTTTATTATAGTTACGAATTGTCAACCACTATAAAAAAATCGAGCTACAAGGCTCGAATAATCGTATCTTCCTTTTCCCAAATTGACCATTTTTGTGCACAATCTGAGCGTCAATTAGAGAGACATCACTGTATTATTTCTTGTTTTATTTCAAATAAAGTATGCCCAATTCTGATGTACACAGGGAACGTATCACAATACCGTCTTGAAGTACTCACGAAATATTTGGAACTATGTACCTAGAGCTAGATTTGTGCCTACTTTATCTCATCTTTAGTTTTAACATAAATAGACGAAGACCGACGCGAAGCGTCGAACAATTGCAGCTGGTACAGTAATGTCTCTCTAATTGACGCTCAAATTGCGCACAAAAATGGACAGTTTGGGAAGAGGAGATACGATTATTCGAGCCTTGCGGTTCGTTTATTATAGTTACGAATTGTCAACCACTATAAAAAATCGAGCTACAAGGATCGAATAATCATATCTCCTCTTCCCAAATTGACCATTTTTATGCACAATCTGAGCGTCAATTAGAGATACATTACTGTATTTCGGAGTAAAAAAGCCACGCACGCGGCCTATTCTTTCGAATTTTCTCGAAAATCGATGTATGTGTGTCGATTAAAATTTTTGACGACCCGTTCTTTCAATATTCGTCCTTTCAATACTTGCTTATACGCGTATGAAGCATTAAAAGTCCGCGTCGATTGCAAGAAATGGCAATTGAACAGCAGGAGATCGCTCTTCCCATATATAAACAATTTGAATATAATTAAACATGATATTTGCGAATTCTTCGAATCATTCTATCGCTTGAAATTGCAGCTACTCAATTTTGGCACGAGTTCACAAAATCCGCCGTTGAAAAAGAAACTTTAGCCTCGGACAAAAATTGATCTATAGTTTACTTAGGACTAAGATTCGAAAATATCAGTTTACATTTCTGCCGGTTCCGTCAGCGCGCACCGATGGTGATGTAAACTGTATATTATAGATACCGCGATATATCATCGCCGGTGTCGTTAGAGCACATCGTGCTCTGACTGTTAGTGATCTCAGTATCGCGTATACAATGTAAAACGCGATGAATGACCGTCTTTGATTGGTGGAGAAGACCACACCAAAAAGGGTATATAAGCAGGCGATTTTCAGTTGCCGGTCTCTCAGTTGAATTTGGTCGATCAGTCATTTCGTACATATATACCTTCTCTCAAATAAAAGTGAAAATAAAACTTTTAAGAAAAAGAATCAATATCATATTCATTTGAGAAATAATCCAAGCCATAATCTCAATATCCGCAGTCCAGTAATTACCGACAGCGCGCGGAGTCGACTTCTGAACGGTTCTCGATTGGGAACAGGTGTCGGGTTCACCGAAAAGTTTCGATCGCTTTTCGAATACCAGCGGCTCCGGCTACCGGATTTAGGATCCGCGATGTTGCTGTTCGGGCGCGTTTTTGCACGCTGTGCGACGATGCTCGGCGACCGTAAAACAGCGGAAGACTGTTTGCATTAATCGGAAAGCGCTAATTTCTACGGCTAATAGAGGTTTACGCGCTCGTGCACGGCCGGCTAACGAACGACGCGGTCCCATGGGGTCACGGGTCGTCCGTCTTCATTTTTCATGGGGATTTTCGCATTGCCACGCGAGCGTACGGTTTATTTGCCGCGGCGGGATCGAGAGGATCGACGATCGAGCCGAGTCGCGGCGCGGCGCGCCGTGCCGCGCCGGTTCCCGCGCAAAAACCAACGAATCCTCGGCTACGTGCTGATTTTAAACAAGCCTCGTCCGAACCAGCCACAATGAGAGATTTCCACGGAGCCGTTGCTACCGTCTTTTTCGAGGTCGGCGACCTCCTTGGATGCGTTTCAAGTGCACCGCGCATCACCGGTGAAATCATCCTAGACTAATTCCTCCGCCTCTCGGCCTTCCGCGAGACGTCGGAACCAACAGCGTAAATTTAACCTTCCGCGTCCGCGTGTATTCCGGGACATCGTGGCCGGTTCTATTCCCTTTCGCTGTCTTCCGAGAATGCCCCGCGATACCGACGCGGCTCCGCGAAATTCATGCGACGCGTGCCAAATTACGGCCGACTGTCTGCCACGCGCGAATCCCCTCGTTTTCCGACGCGACTCCTCCGTGCCGCTTCAATGGCGGTTCCGCAGGCGTCGGCGTTCGCTCGACTTCGACTTTTGCAGGTTCGAAACGATATCTAGATCCTTCGAACCTGACACGCAGATTTCGTTCAATCTTTTTATAATTATTCCTTGACACCCCAGGTTTATTTTTTAATTCACGATTGTTTAGATCGCGAAGATACATTTATTAGTTGTTTACTCGATATAACGCTGTTCTGATTAAATACTGAGACATTTTTGAAAAAATTTTGGAGATACAGTAATGACGCTAATTGACGCTCAGATTGCGCACAAAAATGGACGATTTTGGAAGAGGAGATACGATTATTCGAACATAGTACCTCGTTTTTTGTAATTGTTGGCAATCAGCAACTATAAAAAGGAGCCGCAAGGCTCGAATAATCGTATCTCCGTCTTCCCAAATTGTCCATTTCTGTGGACAATCTGGGCGTCAATTAGAGAGACATTATTCTACTCTGCTATTTCATACGAAATACAGTAATGTCTCCCTAACTGGCGATCAGATTGTGCACAAAGATGGACAATTTTTGAAGAGCCGAAAATTGTTCGAGCCTTGCGGCTCGTTTTTTTATGCTTATCGATTGTCAACAACTATAAAAACGAGCTGCAAGGCTCGAATAATCGTATCTCCTCTTCCCGAATTCTGCACAATCTGAGCGTCAATTAGGGAGACATTACTGTAGTATTATCTGGAGAATGCAATACTGACTCGTACAATGTTCTGTATGTACTTGGAGAAATATTGAAATACTAAAATTATCTTCTGTTTAATATTCTTTTACATTTGGATTTGATCTTTTTAACCCTTTGCACTCGAGTGATTACTCTGAGGCACCACTAAAATTGTTAGTTCACGTCCCATTTCCATATTAACGAAGTTTAAATTTAAGAAATCGTTAAAAGCGTAATTGTTATCACAAGTCATCGCATGGCTCAATTTCATGTGCATAAAATGCACTTTGTTATATAAAATGGAAATACCATAAGTCAGAAAAATTATTTTACGTTTACGGTTAAAATGGCTTCGAGTGCAAAGGGTTAACATTTCTAGGATTAATTTCAAAATTAATTATTTCATACACCGCATCGTTCGTTCTGTGCCATTGCGTCGATTTGATATCGCAGAACAGATTATGGCTGTAGAAACGGGGGACGGTCGAGGGTTAACAGGCTTGCGGTAACTAAAGTGTCAAGACTGTCAGAGTTGGATTGAGTTACTTATACGCACGCTATAGCAACGAACGGTTGTAATTCTCATAGAATTTATATGTTTGTGCATGCCATAAAGATGTCCGCCTTCGGAGAATAAATACATAGAATAAGAAGAAAGTGCCGCGGTCGCGGTGAAAACAGCGGCGGCACTGTAAGCTCGAGATGATTGCCCTCGACTTCGTGATGTTGATGGGCGTTCTCTAAGGATCTCGGACAAAAATCGGCCGGCAGAAAAAAAGGGAACAGAAGCCATGGGAATTCGACCACAAGAGGCCCTCTCGCGACCGTTAAAAACTATACTCTCCTGCAACAGATGAAAAGGAACATTGAACCAGGAGGGCGTAGTCGAGAATGGGCCACGAATGGCGTGTCCGCCGGTCATTAAGATCGAGTCGCCGATTTTGACAATAAATATCGGGCCGGCGCTATATGACCCGTATTTCGCGTGCGCCAAGTGCTCCAGAATTCGCCCGAAAAGTCACCGCGTTCATTATTATGTGTTGTTTGCCGCGAACCGAGCCGGCTCGTGTCGTT